CTGTGACTTTATCTTGTCCTTTTAATCTTCTGTCCTGGAAATATTTAAGACTCTGCCTTCTTCTGTGCTAGAAAATGAAGTTATGTCTCCTGCTTCTGAAAGTAAAGACCATACGCAGCAAATGTGGTGTTGTGTGAAGGGCCTAGGTATATCCAGGAGTGTCTCTGGTGTGTGCTGCATGTGCTCTGCCAGTGACTGCTCTTTCCTTCAGGCCATTCATCTGCAGAGATTTTTCTTGCCTGCTGTAGGCAGTGTTTTGTCTCTGGTTTGAATATGGTTGGTTTTAACTAGGTGTGTTCTGGTTGGTTTCTGAAATGAGACCTAACACTACCTTTATTAGAACTGAGCCACTGTAAATCTCTCTGGTAGGGTAGAGTGGTCGGAGCTATAATTTGTGCTGATCTTTGGCCAAAGGAGCCCTCTGAGCTTGAATGAGGCAAGTGTGACTTAGTAGGGCAGATCCAACAGAGCACATGGGAGAGGCTTGGTGTAAGCAAGTTAGGTAGCCAGTGTTAGCACTACACTGCTCCCTGTTTATGCTGAAAGAGTTGGGAGGGGAATTGGTGCCAGTCGGCTCCTTCATTCTCAGAGAGGTATCTCAGTGAATGTTGCCAATTAGGAAACTGCTCAGAGAACAGTGACTAATCTCTCTACTATGTGCCCCAGGTGCTCTTCAGATCACTCCATGCTGCCTGGCCCTGGGTCATTTTCTTGCCTTCTCTCCAGGAACAAAGCAGTAACCTCCAGGCTCTATACCAGGTACAGCCCCTGAACTTTCAAACTCCAGGCTTTAGGTTCTGCTGGGTTGCAAGAACTTGCAAAATTCAGTCACTTTTTTTTTCCCCCTCCAAACCTGTGGCTATGGGGAAATATTTTCCTTGTGTGATCCCGTTTGCTCCACTCTCTTCTGCCCTTCTCCAGGACCGTGACTCCCTCACCTTTGCAGCAGCTGTGATCTGGTTCTCCAATAACCCTCATATTTGCACTTCTTACCTTCTTTGATGTGGCCTCTTCTTTCTTGTTATGGAGTGTTTTTTTTTTCTGTCAGTTTTAAGGTGTTTTCTGGAGTATTTAGGATGATTTGATAGTTATATAGTCGTGTTTATGGTATGAAGTGAAACCAAGGTCCTCTTAGTTTGCCATCACTTTCTAAGCTAAGTATAAATACTTTAAATATTTTGCATATTTATACCTTGTGGGGCAAATCATTTTTAAATATATTCTTCCATTCAGTAGGCTGTCTTTTGTCCTGTTGAGGTTTTCCTTTGCTATGAAAAAGCTTTTTATTTTGATGTAATCTCAATCATTTATTTTTTAAATTTTCCCTTGACTTATGAGACATACATAGAAAAATGTTGTTACAACTTATGGCAGAGAAATTACTACCTGTGTTCTCTTCAAAGATTTCTATAGTTTCAGGTCTCAAATTTAGTTCTTTAATCCATTTTGAGTTTGATTTTGGTGTTAGGAAGTGGTCCAATTTCATTTTTATATGTAGCTGTCCAGTTTTCCCAGTACCATTTATTGAAGAGGCTCTCTTCCCCATTGTACATTATTGCCTTCTTTGTCATAGATTAATTGACCATATAATCAGGGATTTATTTCTAGTTTTTCTGTTCTTTCCTTTGATCTACATGTCTATTTTTGTTCCAGTATCATTCTGTTTTGATTACTACAGCTTTGTAGTGTATCTTGAAACCCGGAATTGTGATACCCCCAGCTTTGTGTTCTTTGTCTCATGATTGTTTTTTCTTTTGTGGTGCCACAAATATTTTAGTATTATTTGTTTTAGTTTGTGAGAAGTGCTGTTGATATTTTGGTGGAGAGTTCATTGAATCTCTAGATTGCTTTGTGTAGAATGGGCATTTTAACAACATTGGTTCTTCCAATCCATGTGAATGGAATATCTTCCCAATTGTTTGTGTCATCTTCAGTTTATTTCCTTAGTGTTTTGTGGTTTTCAGGATACAGGTCTTTTATCTCTTTGGTTAAATTTATTCCTAAATAAAATATCTACTTGAGGAAATTGTAAATGGATTTTTCATAAAATTTCTTCCTGCTTCTTTGTTATTTGTGTAAAGAAATGCTATGAATTTCTGGATTTTATTTTTTAGTCTGCAAATTTACTGAATTAATTTATTACTTCTAGTAATTTTTTGGTGGAGTCTTAAGGTTTTCTGTGTATAGTATCATGTCATCTGCAAATAATGAAAGTTTTGCTTCTTCCTTAACTATTTGGATATTTCTTTTTTCTTGTCTGATTATTGTGGCTAGGATTTTCAGTACTCACTTGATAAAAATGAGAAGATTAGACATCGTTTTTTGTTCCTAATATTAGAGGAAAAGCTCTCAGCTTCTTTTGATTAAGATGTTACCTGTGGGTTTTTCATATATAGCTTTTAGTATTTTGAGCTATGTTCCCTCTACAACACCACTTTTGTTGAGAATTTTTTGTAATGAATAGGCATTAATTTTTAAATACTTTTTCTGCATATATTTAAATCCTCATATGATTTTTATCCTTAGTTTGTTGTGGTGTATGATGGTGATTGATTTGTGGATACTGAACCATTCTTGCATCCCCTGAATAAATCCTACTTGGTCATGTTGAATAATCCTTTTAATGTATTGTTGAATGTAGTTTGCTAATATTTTGTTGATGGTTTTTGCATATATATTCATCAGGGATATAGATCTGTAGTTTGTTTTTGTTTTTGTTTTAAATGGTGTTTACCTGGTTTTGGTATCAGGGTAACTCTGGCCTTGTATAATGCATTTGAATTTTTTTTCCTCTTCAATTTTTTGGGATAGTTTGAGGAGAATAAGCATTAATTCCTCTTTAAATGTTTGGTAGAGTTTGCCTCTGAAGCCATCTGGTCTGGGACTTTTTTTAGGGGAGGGTATGTTTACATTACTGATTTAGTTTCATTACTTGTTATCAGTATGTTCAGATTTTCTATTTCTTCATGGTTCAGATTTTCTATTTCTTCATGGTTCAGGTTTGAAAGATTGCCTATCCTTCTATTGTTGGGTAAAATATTCTATAAAAGTCCATTAGAGCCAGTTGATTAATGTTGCTTTTCAGTTCAATTATGCTTTTCCTGAATTCCTGTCCTGGACCAGATAACCAGGCTCAACTTGGAATTAAGTTATATTTACTGTTTCCTGTAGTTGTTGTGTTAGTGGTAATTTCTTGTCCTCCTTATTATCTTTGGTGTGTCCTAAAGAATCCAAATTCAATTTGGTGTGAGGACTTCAGTTTCCTCAGTTGCAATCCACCGTTCTTATATAGAACCTTATTGTGGTGGTGGTAACATGTGTAAGGAGGAGAAACATGATTAGATTTCAGTCTCTTAATGAGTCTGTGTCTTTGGGCTATGATTTTCACAAAGGATTTTTAGCTTTTATCTCTCTTAGGTGAGAGAGGAAGACTAGAGGGGGCTAAAGCTGAGTATTTCTCTTTTCACACAGGAAATGTTAAAGGGGCTAGAGAAGTGCACGTCCCTTACCTCACATTAATGATTACAGGATGCTGGACTTTAATATAATCTTTCCCCCACAGCAGTTAGGCTCTGGTAAAACAAAGTAGTTTTGGCAAAGTAGTTTCCTTTGAGGGCTGGCCTTTGTTGAGGTGAACAGAACACTTTGAGCATATTTTGAAATGGGTACTTCTGTCTCCCAGCATGAAACATGAAAGGCATTTTCTCAGGTCATCACCATGAGAACCTCAAGGTGCTCCTGGAATTAAGACTTGTGAAAGTGCAGAGACCCACTAAGAATTGGCCCCCAGGGGTTTTTATCTCTCACTGTAGGTCCAAACTGAATCTCTAGCAATTTAAATACTTCTACGAGACTCTAGCTATGGCTTCTGCTCCCTGTAAGTTCTGATTTTCTGTATCTGCCTATATCTTCAATTTGGGGGATAACTCTGCCCTGTGAATTCAATCTCTGATGGATTTAAAAGAGTTTTTTTTATCTTGCTTTGATGAGGAGTGACTTCTAAACTTGTCAGACCAGAAACCAGAAGTCTTCCAAGTTTTCCTGCTTTATGAAATAAGTCAACTTTAATCAGTCCTTTTCTCAACTTCTCATAGCACAATATTTATAACTTTCTTGGCATTTATTTATCTTTGCTTAACATTTCATCTCTATGTACCTTTCATATTTGAGTTTATAACATTTTTAAAGTAAGACCCATAACTCATTTTGTATGCTTAAAACTGACAAATTTCATGAAGATTTAAGACATCATATTAAAATATTTCAGAATTTCACTGTTCTGTTGTTTTAATCCTAAGGTTTAGTGAGAGAATGAAAATCTCAGGGAAAGAAATAATGAAAGTTCTCTCTCAGATTCCTGCTTATAAGAAAATTAGGATTGAAAAAGGAAAAGTGGTGTTTTAGTCAAGTAATGTATATAAGACACACTTTCCTACAGAAAGACTTCTGAGTTTTTGAAGTTCCTAAAAACATCATCTAAAGCTGAATTTGTATACATTAGCTAAAATTTGATTAATGAGTAATAATAATACTTATAATGTATACAGTTCTTACTGTATGCAAGTCACTAACAGCTTTTCTTTTGTTATTTTTAGCACTCACAATAACCTTACCTAATAGGCATATTTTTATTATTCCTTTGTAGTTGTGGACACTGTGGAGACTTGGAAAATTTAGATGAATTCTCCAAGGTCAAATAGTAGCATGGAATTCAAAAGATGTGTATTTCAAACCCAAGTTTATGTGACTATAGACAACTTTCTTAATTACTCTGTTACATGACTTCCCAGGTATCTTTACTCTGCTACATGCCCTCTCAATCTATCTTTACTCTATAAAACCCACACTTTCAAATAAATTCCTCTCAATCTATACTTATGACTTCAAATTGTCAAACATTGTGGGAGGAAAATACACTAACCCTGCTTGACCAAGGTTTCTAGTGGTCTTGTGTGGTATTTTTCTCAACACATCAACTTTTGAAAGGACAGAATACATACTATTAGTCAGTAAGTGGTTCTGCTGCAGTGGATTGAGGGCAGGAGTACCCCCAAGGCCTGGCTGGCTAGCCAGGGCTGCATGAGCAAGTCCATGTTGGGGTCCAGGAACAGCAAGAGAAGATTGCATCTTATCCTTATCCCAGGAGGATTCACTTCCACCTGAAAAACATTTATATGAACAGATTGCAATTTGGCAACTTTCCATGAGAGGTTTTTTGAAAATTCCCTTTTAGGGGTGAAATTTTTAATCTTAATACTTAGAAAATCATTATTAAACATAGGGAACTTATTTTTATAATCGGTTCAAAAAGTTTCAATAACCTTGGATTTATGCTGCTTCTGAGAACACTAAACAACTCTCACTAATGATATAGTTACAGGTAGTCTAAACAAATCAAGAATCATAATGAATAGCTTTTGAAAGCACTAACTTGTTGAAGACCATTAACTGACCATTACAGCCTCCCATTCTGGTGATGCCAATGTGTCTCCCTCTTCCCTGGCTAAGGAACAAAGACACTTGTTGAGGGCAGCAAACTTTGGTGCTGGCTTTTTGCTGTGATTTGCCATAAACTCTCAACCACTGCATGGTCATGCAACTGCTCTAATGGGACAAACCAACAAATAGCAAAAGCATAGTGACCCTCTCCTATAAAATCACTACAGGCTGTTCCATGTGGGTCTATAACATTTAGAGCTTTGAAACCCAGGTTCATGCCCAAGATAAAACACAAGAGTAGTATACCACGTGGCAGACAGATAACTCAAACACAGACAAGGTGAAGACAAGGATCTGATGGAAGCTGGGGACAAAAGAGAGATGATTATTCACTCTTCCGTGAGGGTTTCCTAAAGGGTTTCCTAAAGAGTGATGGGTTCAAACTCTCCACTCCAGGGAGGAGAAAGGGGAGCAAAGACATTACCCTCCCCTGCACTGCAACACAGACCAACTTCAGTGAGTAACAACACAGTGTCCTGCAGTGGAGACAGGAGTTGCTTGCATTAAGCCCTACAGGTGTATGTTTATTAGGGCAGATTGGCCTAAAAATGAGCCCAGAAGCTCCCTTCCCCAGAAGACCAACACAAACTCCACACATGCACCAAATTTACTGATAATAGAGGGCTGCAAAGCTTTAGCTATAGGGGAAATGGGATCTAGATTCTTTCTTTATATCTAACTTCTTTTAAAAAGCAGACCAAACACACCTAGGTAAAACTTGCCACACAGTGGACAAGGCCCAAACACCTCCCAATACAGACAAGAAGAAACTATGCAAAGAATTTACCTGAAAATAGGGGCAATCAAAACACGACATAAGAATGCATATAAGACCTCTGCCCTAGTTTCTGGACCTCTTCTTAATATAGCCATTACTCTCAGGAACACAAATATAACAGGCTTTCCTAATGATCACACACACACACAAAAGAACAGTGACTTAGACAAAATGACAAGATGTAGGAATTCACCTCTAAAGAAAGACCAGGAAGAAGCAATGGCCAGGAATTGAATCAAAACTGATATAAGATGTATGAAACAGATGTTAAAACAACAATTATAAGGATAGTAGCTGGGCATAAAAAAAAACACAAAAAAACATATAAGACACCAAAGAATCCCTTACTGCAGAGATTTTAAAAACTTAAAAAACTAGTCAGGCTAAAATTAAAAATGCTATAACTGAGATGCAAACGCAACTGGAGGCCATGAAAGTGAGGATGGAAGAAGCAGAGGAATGAATCACTGGTTTAAAAGATAAAATTATGGAAAATAATGAAGCTAAACAGGGAAGGAAAAGTATTAGGTCACAAATGTAGACTTAGAGAGCTCAGCAACTTCTTAAAGCATAACATTCCTATCATAGGAGTTCCAGAAGAAGAGAAAGAAAAAGTGGCGGAAGTTTCATTTGAGTAAATTATAGATGAAAAGTTGCCTAATCTGGGGAAGGAAACAAATAGCAAAATCCAAGGTGCATGGAGAACTCCCATTAAATTCAACAGAAGCCAGCCATCACCAAAACATATCATAGTCAAATAAACAAGATATATGCAGAAAAGGAAAGAATGTTGGAAGCAGCAGGAGGGCGGAGCCCTTAATATACGTGGGAAACACATCCGTTTCACAACAGATCTATCCAAAGAAGTGTGGCAGGCTGGAAGAGAGTTGCATGATACATTTTGTGTACTGAATGGGAAGATATGCAGCCAAGAATACTTTATCCAGCAATTCTGTAAATCAGAATAGGAGAGATAAAGGTTTTCCCAGACAAACAAAAAGTAAAGGAGGTCATGAGCATGAAATGAGCTCTACAAGAAATATTAAAGGGGGTTCTTTGAGTGGGGAAAAAAGACAAAAGGCAACAAAGAATAGAAAGGAACAGAGAGCATCACCAAAAACACGAACTATACAAGTAACACAATGACACTAAATTCATATCAACAATCATTTTGAAGGTAAATGGACTAAATGCTGCAACCAAATGACAGAGGACATCAGAATGGATTAAAAAACAAGAACAAGGGGTGCCTGGGTGGCTCAGTTGGTTAAGCGACTGCCTTCAGCTCAGGTCATGATTGCAGGGTCTTGGGATGGAGCCCAGCATCAGGCTTCCTGCTCAGCAGAAAGTCTGCTTCTCCCTTTCCCACTCCTCTGCTAGTGTTCCTTTTCTCGCTGTGTGTCTCTCTCTCTGGCAAATAAATAAAATCTTAAAAAAAAGAATAATCTATATGCTGCTTATAAGAGACTCATTTTACACCTAAAGACACCTGCAGAGTGAAAGTGAGGGAATGGAGATTTCAGATAGGAGAGGGAACTAAGATGGCAGAGTAATAGGGAGACCCTGGGCTTGTCTCATTCCATGGATACTGCTAGATCAACATCAAATTATTTTTGAACAACTAGAATATCAATCTTAGGGTTAAGAAAACATTTTGCACAGGGGTGCCTGGCTCAGGTCATGATCTCAGAGTCTTGGGTTTGAGTACCCATCAGGATTCCCACTCAACAATACTTCTCCTTCTCCCTCTCCCTATGCCTGCTACTCTCCCTGCTGTGCTTGATCTCTCTATATAAAATCAGTAAATAATTTTTTTAAAAAGAAATCATTTTTCACAAAAAGAGGGAGAGAGATAATGTGACAGATGCAAGGCTCAGAGTCATGAATTGGATGAGAGAAAAACCATAGTGCTGCAGAGGGGAGGGAGCCCTTTGGGGGGAAAGAAATCAGGGAGAGAGGGAGAGAAAAAGCAATGTTTAGGGCTCATGAAAGATACTGTGGTGTGAGTATCCTCTGGGTCACAGCGGGAGAGGATGGCCCCCTTCCTAAAGTACATTAGGAAGAAGGTATTTGCCTTTTCAAGGACAAAGAGGGTATATTGCCTCTCCAGTGCCATTCAGTGGCTGTTCAACAGCAGGGAACGAAGGCATACTCAGAGGGCAGATAACCTGGTTTCACAATAGATTCTAGGGACCTGCACAGCCATGCAATTGCTTTTCTGGGACAGAATGGTGTCAGGTGCAGGGCTGTGAGGCTCTTATGGGGGAGGGATATGGGTCTGCATGTTGTCAGGTCTTTCATATTTGGAGTTTTGAATCCCAGCCACGGAGCAGAGATAAATACAGAACTGTGGTACTGGGCAATCCGATGGCCCAGGCACAGACAGGTTGAGGGCAATGATCTGACAAAAGCCTGGGACATTGGAGGGAATATTGTTTGCTGTTTGTGAGGGTCTCCTGAATAGTGGTGGCCCCCAAGTTCCCCTCCCTGGGGATGAGTGCAGATTGACACCATCTTCCACCCCCACCAACCAGGCCAACAGTGTGGTTGGACTTCAGAGAAAAAACAGCCCCCCCCCAGTGGAGGTTGTAGTCACATATACCAAACCACTCCTCCCCATGCCTGGCAGGGGCAACTTTACTAGGACCAGTCTGACTGTAAGCCAGAGCAATGACCCTCTCCCCCAGAGGACCAACTCAGGGCACCCACATGTACCAAGTCTACTGATAATAGAGTGCTCCAAAGCATCAGCTTCAGTTATGGTAGACATAAGATCAGATTTTTTTAAATTCTTATTTATTTATTTAATATTTTTTTAATTTATTTTTTTTTCTTTTCTCTCTCTCTCTCTCTCTTTTTCTTCTTTCTTTGGAATCAGGCTTATAGTTTTTTGTTCATTTGTTGGTCTGCTTGTTTAAGCCTCTCCTTTTGAGACAAGATCCTTTTTTTTTGTTCCCTCTTTATTCTGTCTTTGTTTTTCTTTGGAATCAGCTTATACTTTTTTGTTTGTTTGCTTTTTTTTTTTCCTTTTTCTTTTCACCTTTCTTGGATCAGGCTTTTTTTTTTTAAGTCTTATATTAACAAACAAATCAAAGCACACCTAGTTAAAAGTCCAAACACTTCCCACTACAAGCAAAGAGGAATTCTGCAGAGGACTGGATTTGTGGGAAAGAGCAGCCAAAACACAAAAGCAGAGTACACACAGCATACACCAGAAACACTTCCTGAAGTGACAGGACCACACAGTTTATGACCATTTAGTAATATAATATTACTCTCAGGAGCAAGAAACAAAAAGCTTTCATAACATGCAAGAGAGAGAAACCTAGACATAATGACAAGATGGAGGAATTCTCTCCAAAAGAAAGGTAAACAAGAAATAACAACCAGAGACTTGCTCAAAACAGATATAAGCAATATATCTGAACAAGAATGCAAAACAATAGTCAAAACAATAGTATCTGGACTTGGAAAAAGCATAGAGAAATAATAGAATGAAACTGGACCACTTTCCTATATCATACACAAAATAAATTCAATATTAATAAAAGACTTAAATATAATACAAGAATCAATCAAAATCCTAGAGGAGAATATAGTCAGCAACCAGTTTGACATGGGCTGTAGCAACATCTTGTTAGACACATCACAGAAGACAAGGGAAACTATTGGGACTTCATCAAAATAAATGAACTATTGGGACTTCATCAAAATAAATACCTTTTACACAACAAAGGAAACAATAAACAAAACTAAAAAGCAACCTATGGAATGGGAGAACATATTTGCAAATGATTTATCTGCTAAAGGGCTAGAATCCAAAATCTAAAGTAACTTATCAAAGTCAACACCTCCAAAATAAATAAGCTGGTTAAGAAATGG